TTCCATTATCTCTACTGCAGCAACCATCAAACCCTGGGCTTCACTCCACGCTCCTTCCTCTTTGCTTTCCAGACACTCTTCCCACTCCACGCATTTCTAGGAGACAAAACCAATCCAGATTAACGATTTAACGCCCCCTGAGCTCCCTGCTGCCCTCAGGAGCCCCAGTGAAGGTCACTGAGAACCACCCCAGCTCCCTGGTTCCGTGTGCATGGCTGGGGCTGGTTTGGCTCTGCTCACACCGGAGCTCTCCTGCACGCTGGGAAATCCAAGGAAAACCTGGGGAAAAAAGGGAACTTCGCTGCGGGAGGCAGCAGGGGCTGCTGGCTGGGAGGTGATTCCTTGTGGGGCAGGACAGTGCTCCCCCATGGAAGCGCTGCTTTATGGCCCCACGCTGGATGGACAAAGTTTGTTTTCATTCCAGCGCCGCTCTCCGCGTCCCCAGCCCGGACTTTGCCCGGCCTGGGCGATTCCCACCGGGGCTGCCACGCGTGCCCGGCGTGCCCAGGAGGGAACAACACCCGTGCCTGCAGGGAGAGGGGACTGGGGAGTGCATTCAGAGCAGGGGAATGTCCCCAACAGCAGCAGCACAGGATGGCAGGGCAGGCACAGGGAATGTCCCCAACAGCAGCAGCACAGGATGGCAGGGACAGGCACAGGGAATGTCCCCAACAGCAGCAGCACAGGATGGCAGGGGCAGGCACAGGGATTGTCCATGCCAGCAGCAGCACAGGATGGCAGGGCAGGCACAGGGAATGTCCCCAACAGCAGCACAGGATGGCAGGGCAGGCACAGGGAATGTCCCCAACAGCAGCAGCACAGGATGGCAGGGCAGGCACAGGGAATGTCCCCAACAGCAGCACAGGATGGCAGGGCAGGCACAGGGAATGTCCCCAACAGCAGCAGCACAGGATGGCAGGGACGGGCACAGGGAATGTGCCCGCCACAGCTTTGTCACAGGAGCCCAGCAGGGACTTGCTGGGGAGCACCTCACAAAAGATATCCCAGCTGGAAATATCCTTCAGCAGAAGGAAATGGTATTTCAGGTGTTTAGGCAGGGGGGTGGGACATGGGTGATCCATGAAATCACAGAATCCTGGAGTGGTTTGGGCTGGAAGGGACCTTGGACCTCACCCGGTCCCAGTGCCTTGGGGAGCAGGCAGGAACAGCTTCTCCTACCCCAGGTTGCTCCAAGCCAGCCTTGAGCACTTCCAGGAATGGAGCAGCCGCAGCTGCCGGGGTCTCACCGCCCTCACAGCCAACAATTTCCTGCTATCTGTAATCTCCACCTGCCCTCCTGCAGTTTAAAGCCATCCAAGCCCTCCCAGCTCCCGCTCCGCTCGCTGCTTGCAGAGCTGCTGCAGCAGCCAGGGCGACCCCGCTCCCTCCCAGCGCTGTCCCAGCTCCAGGGAGGGCAGCAGGAATGTGCTGAGTGCGGGCGAACCGGCCGGGACAAACACATCCACATCCACATCCACATCCACATCCACATCCACAGCCCCCTGCCCTGCCACCCTTGGGGAGCCGAGCCCAGGCAGGAGCCTGCAAAGGAGCCCGTGCCAGGCAGGAGGGGCCAACCCCGCTCTGTGCCCACCCTACCCCGTGCCAGGGAAGTGCCAGCCCTGCTCCGTGCCAGGGAAGTGCCAGTCCTGTTCCATGCCAGGGAAGGCCAGCCCTGCTCTGTGCCAGCCCTGCCCCGTGCCAGGGAAGTGGCAGCCCTGCTCCGTGCCAGGGAAGTGCCAGTCCTGTTCCATGCCAGGGATATGCCAGTCCTGTTCCATGCCAGGGAAGGCCAGCCCTGCTCTGTGCCAGCCCTGCCCCGTGCCAGGGAAGGCCAGCCCTGCCCTGTGCCAGCCCTGGCCCATGCCAGGGAAGTGCCAGCCCCGCTCCGTGCCGCCGAGCCGGGCTCTGGGCTGCATTCCCGTGCCCTGGGCGTTGGGAAAGCCGCTGGCACCGTGCCCGGCTCCGGAGCCAAGGCCAGGCGGGCTCAGACATCCCTGGGGCTGGCCAGGGCCAAAGCGTGCCAGCAGCAGGGGTGGCTGCAGCTGAACCCCGCTTCTGGCTCCACCAGGGACGGAGGGACTCCAAGGAAAACTCGGGAATTGTCTTCTTGCTCTTGTGCTGCCCGTGCTGGAGGGCACTGGTGGTGCCAGGGCAGCCGGGTCCTGGGGCAATCCCGGGCAATCCCGGGCAATCCCGGGCAATCCCTGCTCTACGGGAAGCCCGGGGTGGCCCTGGCATGGCAGCCCGGGGTGGCCCAGCAAAGGGGCACGGCCAGGGCATTTTCCACCGCAGCGGGATGGGACAAAGGTCCCGCGTGGGTAACAAGGGAGAGGATGAGGGACACCCCAAAAGGGCCAGCAGGGGCCAAGGGACAGGGAGCAGCTCCTGGCGCTGCTCCGGGCTCGGGGGCCGGGACACCCCGAGGCAGCCCCGGTGGCTCCGGCGGGGATGGGGCTTTGTCCCCTCTCGCTGACACCGTTTGGTGGCTGGTCTCATTCCCAAAAACCGGAATTAAACGACTCGATGCTCTTACGTGCAGGAAGCGCCTCCGCAGCTGGCCCAGACGCGCTCCCCCACCGAGGGCTCCAGCGGGCATCTCGCACATCCCTGGGTTAACCCATTGCTCCCCGAGCTCCTCCGGCCTCGGGCAGCCCAGCGAACATTTGGGGCGAGGGAAAGAGGAGCTGAGCCCCTGGGCAGAGCCCGGCACAGCTCCTGCCCCCCCGACTTTGTGATGCCAGGCACGGAGGGGAGGGCAGGCCCAGCCTGGAGAACGATGAAAGTCAGGATTAAAGGGCGGGGGGGAAGCGAAGCGCCCCGGCCGCTTTTGGCAGGCCGTGAAAGGGAGGTTCGGCAGCAGCTGCTGCCGGCTGGGAGCTGACGGAGAGACAACTGCGGGTCCGGCCCCATCCCGGAGCCCGGCACCGCACACCCCGCACGGGCAGCCTGGCCCCGCAGCGGGACCGGGGCACCCGGGAACGGGGGAACCGGGAAACGGGAGAGACGGGAAACGGGAGAGACGGGAAAACTCCGCGTTCCTGATGCTCCTCGGGAAAAGGGACAGCCGGGAAAAGGGACAGCCGGGAAACTGGAGAGCCGGGAAACGGGACGGCCGGGAAAAGTCCCCATCCCTGCTGCTGCTCGGGAAAAGGGACAGCCCGGAAAAAGCTCCTGTGTGAGCGCAGGGCCAGCGCGGTGTCAGAGCTTTGCTGCCGGCCCCGGAGGGACAGCAGAGGCTTCAGCTGCTCCCCAGCTGCCCCCACCCATCTGAGACAGATTTAGCTCAGGGCCGGCGCAGATGGGGCTGCGGGGCCGGAGCCACAGGCGGAGCCCTCGAGCCCGCATTGCTAATAGAGATGGAGCAAATTAAGCGAACTTAATTGGGAGGGTCACCGCACAATGCCCCCACCTGTTCCGCGGCGCTCCGGCCATCTGCCGCCCCGCACCTGATGCAAAAAGCGCTTTTCTCGCTTTGCCCCGAGCCGTGTCGGGTCTCACCAGCGGCAGGACGGGGCAGGGCCGGGCGGGGGCACAGAACAAACCCTGGGGACAGAGAAATCGCCCTCCGTATTCTGCTGCACAAACGCGTTGATGTGCCCCGAATGTTCCAGGCTGGACAGGACACGGAGCAGCCTGGGCTGCTGGGAGCTGTCCCTGCCACAAAACCATCCCTGGGGTCCCTTCCAGCCCAAACCATCCCAGGGTTCTGTGATATCCCATTTCCCACACGGCCAGCTCAGGGTTCTGCAGGAGGTGCACGGAGCCAGCATCACTCTGCGCTGTGCAAACCAGCTCCGGTGCTCAGGAGCTGCAGGAAAACCCTGACACAAGCCAAACTTTAAAGGGCACGCTGCCAAAATCCCCGTGAGGGACCACCAAGGGTCCCAGTGCAGCCCGTGGAGGGGGTGGGAATGTGCCAGCCCACAGCCAGGATGGGAAAGAGCTCTGGCTGTGGGAGGAGGGAGGGTCTGGGTGCAGCAGCTGAGAAAGCTCTGACACAGCAGCCATCAGGGGCCCTGCCCGGAGGTCTCAGGGCTGACACGGGACATCTGGAGCGGGAGCAGCTTCCCAGAGGAGCACCGAGTTCCTGGAAAGCTGCAGAGGGAGAGATCACAGAACCACAGGCTGGTTTGGGGTGGGAAGGACCTTAAATCCCACCCAGTGCCACCCCTGCCATGGCAGGGGCACCGTCCACTGTCACAGGCTGCTCCAAGCCCCGTCCAGCCTGGCCTGGGACACTGCAGGGATGGGGCAGCCACGTTGTGTCCTGTGCCAAACTCTGGCCCTGTGTTTGAAGTTGCTGAGGCTGAGTCTGAGCACAGGGGAGCTCCTGCAAGGAGCACGAGTGCAGTCCCTGTGGGGGCAGAGAACAGCATTCATCCAAGGGGGAATTCTGTCCCACTGCCCCTCCCAGGTGAGGCCCCACCTGCAGAGCTGCCCCAGCCCTGGGGACAACATCAGCAGCACCTGGAGAGAGCCCAGAGGAACCCATGGAGCTGCTGCAGGGCTGGAGCCCCTCTGGAGCCAGGCTGGGACACCTGGGGGGGCTCACCTGGAGAGGAGAAGGATCCAGGGAGAGCTCAGAGCCCCTGGCAGGGCCTGGAGGGGCTCCAGGAGAGCTGCAGAGGGACTGGGGACAAGGATAGAGGGACAGGACACAGGGAATGGCTGCCACTGCCAGAGGGCAGGGCTGGATGGGATATTGGGAATTGTTCCATGGGAGGGGCTGGGCTGGAATTCCCAGAGCAGCTGTGGCTGCCCCTGGATCCCTGGCAGTGCCCAAGGCCAGGCTGGGTGGGCTCGGAGCAGGGCCCCTGTCCCGGCTCCATTCCCGATCCGGGTCCCGCTCCCGAACAGGGCCAGGCCCGGCCGGACTTGGCAACGTTGTGGGCGTGGTCTCATTTGCATGACCCAATGGGAGCGGTGTATGCAAATGAGCCCTGCCGGGGCGGGCGGGGCGGCGCGCGCGGGGCGCCTTTGTCCGGCTCGGGCGGCGGGGCCGGAGCGGCCGCAGCGGCCGGAGCGCGGTGTCCGCCCCTGGCCCCGGCCGAGCCCCGAGCGGCCCTGGCCCCGTGATGACTCTGGAGGAGCTGCCCGGGGAGCGCCGCGCCACCGGGAGGTGAGGCCGGGGGGCGGCGGGGGCCGGGCGGGGAGCGGCGCGGGGTGGCCGGTGACGGCCGGTGCGTCCCAGCGCAGGATGGAGCAGGCGGGGGACGCGCTCGAGGAGGTGCTGAGCAAGGCGCTGAGCCAGCGGAGCCTCACCCTGGGCGTCTACGAGGCGGCCAAGCTGCTGAACGTGTGAGTGCCCCCCCCCCCGCCCGTGCCCGCCGGTGCCCGCTGCCCGGCGCGCTCGGTGACGGCGGTGCCCCGCAGGGACCCCGATAACGTGGTGCTGTGCCTGCTGGCGGCCGAGGAGGAGGAGGCGGGCGACGCGGCGCTGCAGATCCACTTCACCCTGCTGCGGGCCTTCTGCTGCGAGAACGACATCAACATCCTGCGCGTCAGCAACCCGGCGCGCCTGGCCGAGCTGCTGCTGCCCGCCGCGGGCCCCGACCCGCCCGCAGACCTGCACTGCGTGCTCGTCACGGTGAGCCCCGGCTGCCACCGCGGGGGGACATCCACGGCTCCCCGGGGCCGCTCCGGATCCCCCCGAACCGCCGCGCCCGGGACTCGAACCCGCGGCCTCAGGGGCTCCGCGCCGGGGGTCCCGCGGTGCCTCCCGGGGACAGCGGCTGCCTTCGCCCCTTGTTTGCTGTGGTTTCCCCATCTTCCTCCTTTGTTTCTCGCCTTTTTCTCTTGTTCTGTCTTTTCTTTCCCTTATTTTCCTCTTTCCCCCCTTCCCTCTTTATTTTCCCCCCACTCCCTCTTTATTTTTCCCCTTCTCTTTCCCCCTTTCCCTTTGTTTTTCTCTCCCTTCCCCCCGCTTTTATCTCTCCCTCCTCTTTTTTTCCCCCGTCCCTACTCTGCCCCAGAGTCCAAAGCTAAACTCCTCACATGCTCCCAGGCCTGACTTGTTTGTTTGCCTCGCCAGCAATTTAAGATGATTCACACTCCTGCTCTCTGTGCTGCGCTCCCCCCCCCCGCCGCTCTCGGGTTGTTTTTGCTGCCGTGCCGGAGCTTTTTGCCGTCCCCTTTCCAGAACCCGCAGGCGTCGCAGTGGAAGGACCCGGCGCTGAGCCAGCTGATGTGTTTCTGCCGGGAGAGCCGGTACCTGGACCAGTGGGAGCCGGTGATCAACCTCCCGGAGCGGTGACCCCGGCCCTGCCGCCAGCGCGCACTCTCGCTCAGGAAGGAACTCCCTGCCCCGGCTCCGCGAGGGAAAATAAAACCCGGCAGCAGCAACACAAAAAAAATAGATATAAAATAATAAAGCTAAACCCGATGTCATTGGGGGGTTTTGGCTGGAGCTGAGGAGAACAGGGATGAGCCCAGCCCGATTTCCTCCCCTCACTCCTTCTGTCCTTAAGTGCCACTTAAAAGTTCCTGCTTTAAACACCTTAACGAGCAAACGAGGTTAATCGAGGCCTTTTGCCAGCAATGTTGTTGTATTTTTGGGATGTAATTCTCACGTTTTTATGCTAAGATATAATAATAATAAGTTATTTTCTGATATCAATGGAGAAATTATTTATACTTGGAGGTTTGAGAACCAAAACGCCCTTGAGCAGTTGGTCTGCAACCACGAATCTTCTCCCAGCCGGCTGCAAAAGCAGTGCCATTAATATAATTGTTTGAAATTCGAGTGTTTTTTGGGGTTATGGTGTTCTTGTTTTGTGGGTTTTTTTTTTTTTTTGGAATAAAGTGTAAAATCAAACCTTTGGCCCGGGCTTTGATTTCCTCGCCCCACGAGTGCAGCAGACACAGGGGCTGAGCAGCAGCTGCTGCTTCCTCCTCCTGGCCATGGGCAAGGTCCTGTTGAGCAGCTCCAGTGTGGGTTCATTCCCGGCCCCTCCCAAGCAATTACGGGCTGAGGCAGCCCATGTGCTGCAGGAAATGTTGGGAATGCTATTCATTTATTTATTTATTTAGTTTGCTTGAGAGCTGCCACAACAGGAGCTTAAAAAATAAAATAAAAAAGGGCTTTGCTGCTGAGGTTTTTATGCTCCTGCAGCTCTTTGGCAGGTGGGAATCCTCATTCCCTGGGGAGGAAAACGTGGCCTGGGTTTTCCTTACAAAGCCCTGGGATTTGTTGGCAGCCCCAGCTGCTCCTCAATGCCACGGCCAGGCTGGCACGGGTGGCATTCCTGCGTGTGGCAGGACAATGGCGCTGCCTGGGGACAGCGGTGACACACACTGTCCCCCAGCCCGGGTCGCTGTGTGCCCAGCCCGGCCAGCAGGGGAGGCTGGACCTGTTCTCCCACTCCTGGGATGCTCCAGCACCAGGCCACCCTGTCCCTGTTGTCCCTGTGTCCAGCCCAGGTGCCACCCTGTGCCTGGGGACACTGCAGCAGCAGCAGCAGATTTATTTCTCCAAGCTCAGATTGAATCCAAACCCCTCTGGTTCTTCCACAAACTGGGGGGGTCCTAGGGGCACCTGGCCCGGCACACAAATTCCCATTTTTCTCCCCAGATCAGCACCCAAATTCTCATTTTCCTCCCCAGATCAGCCACCTTGGCCAAGGACAAGAGGGGCAGCCCAGTGATGCCCCTTGGTGGGGTCTCACCACGGGTTTCTCCCAGCACCTGTGGATGCAATGGCTTCACTTCTTTTTAAAAACATCTACTAAGGCAGAGTCTGCATTTCCCCAGATTTTACAACTCCTGTTCATTCTGGGGGTATTGATGGCAAAAAGCAAAGTGCAAACACAACCACTCCAGATTTCAGGGTACACTGCATTTTAAAAATGGCAAGTTCACCAAGAATCCCTGGATTAAACGCTGTCAGATTTGGGCAGGATAACCAGGCAGGATCCCACATCTGGATCAGCAGACACCAAAACATCCATGCAGCCCCACCAGGGATCTCAAACCAAGCAAAAAAATCCCAATTTCTTCCCAGATTCCTGGGAAAACAGCCACCAACAGCACGGGGCCTCTTCCCTGCCCAGAGCCCCCTGCAGCTGGGCACAGCTGGATCCCCTCAGCCCCAGCTGAGCAATTAACAGAGTCATTAATTGTGACCAGGGCTGTGACAAACACACACACAGGCACGGTGAGGAGGAATTAGTGCAGAGCCACGTCGTTGGGTTTTATCACCTGCCACTAGAAAAATACCCTGATTACAAAAATAATTGGCAGCCAAGCAGAGGGTAAGCAGCAGGTTTCTCTGTCAGGCTGATTTCTGGGGCTCTGCCAAAGAGATTTGTCAAGCAAAGTTGAATTTTTTTATTCTCTATCAAAAGTGGGTCTATAATTCCATATAGAAATGACAAATGTGCAACATAAATGACAAGTGGTTCATGAATTCTGCGGATATCCTCCCAGAAATGCAGGGTTCTGGCAGATGCCTTCAGCTGCCTGCACAGGAGGACATTTGCAGCCAGCTGAAGGCAGGATTATTTTTGAACCCTTCAAAATTTGCTGTTAATATATAAAGTTTATATATCTGCACATACACACACAGAGAAAGACTTTTTTATTATGTGTATATATAAAATATATACTAGATGGAAAGGCCCTCAATTATAGATGCATAACCACAAGCTGGAGCTAATTTGGCATTTTTCCTGTTTAAAAATGGATTTTTTTATAAAAATGAGTCAAGTTGTGACTCCCTGCTCAGAACTCAGCTGGGATTGGGAGCGAGGGCAGCGTTCCTCCAGCTCTGCCAGGGCACTTCCAGCCTCTCTTTCTTTTCTCATCTCTTTGAGGATGTGTTTTATACTAACAGATGTGGTTTTTTGAGAAAAAAACGCAGCAGAATCCAAGCTGGAAATTCTGCTTTTCCAGCTCACAGAAAGCAGGGGAACATCCCTGATTCCCATCTCTATCCTTTGAAAGCCCTGGGATGAGAGGCCAGCAGGAGGAAGGCTGAGGCAGAGCTCCCTGGCGCTCCCCAGCAGCTGCTACAATCGTTTTGCAAGGTAGATTTTGCTAGAAAATGCACTTTAGGCGTGCCTGCGCACAAACAGGTGCCAGGCACGACCCCCCCACCCTCCCCCCCAAAAAAAAACCAAAACAAAAATCCGTAATTTTATAAAATGTAAACCCAGTGATTCCATCAGGTCTCTACAGCTCTGCTTCGTCTGCAAAGCTCAGGCAACTTTGGTCGTGCTGGAGTTGGCAAATGCCACCAGGACCCCCCGTGCAGCGCAGAGACCCTGGAGCCCATTCCCTTGGCCAGGACAGAGAGGCAGAAAGCTCCTAAGGGGGACAGGGCCAGCAGGAATGCCTTGGGGAGCTCAGGGGGTGCCCACGGGGTGCAGGTACCTGGGGGAGCGGTGGTGCTTGGCCCAGGGGCTGGGCAGGAGGAGCTGCCCCTGCCCTATAACAAAATGCAGGTTTTCTTGTCCTTGAAGGGGTTCTCGGAGGCTGGAATGCCCATCAGCAGGGGATCCTTCTTGGCGTGCTCCTCACAGTACAGCATCAGGTCAGCCGAGGCCTTGGACACCTGCAGGGCACAGGGAATCAGCACAAAATGGGGTTTGACATGGAGGTGGCACCAAAATGGGGCACAGGGCTCAGGGAATCAGCACAAAGGAAATGGCACCAAAATGGGGCTCAGGGAATCAGCAAAAAGGGGGTTTGACATGGAGATGGCACCAAAATGGGCTCAGGGAATCAGCACAAAGGAAATGGCACCAAAATGGGGCTCAGGGCACAGGAATCAGAACAAATGGGGTTTGACATGGGAATGGCACCAAAATGGGGCTCAGGAATCAGCAAAATTGGGGTTTGACATGGGAATGGAACCAAAATGGGGCTCAGGGCACAGGGATCAGCAAAAATGGGGTTTGACATGGAGATGGCACCAAAATAGGGCTCAGGGAATCGGCAAAAATGGGGTTTGACATGGAAATAGCACCAAAATGAGGCTCAGGGCACAAAGTGGGGAAATCAACACAAAGGAAATGGCACCAAAATGGGGCTCAGGGAATCAGCAAAAATGGGGTTGGCCATGAAAATGGCACCAAAATGGGGCTCAAGGCACAGGAATCAGCACGAAATGGGGTTTGCCATGGAGATGGCACCAAAATGGGGCTCAGGGCACAGGGAATCAGCAAAAATGGGGTTTACAATGGGAATGGCACCAAAATGGGGCTCAGGAATCAGCACAAAATGGGGTTTGATATGGAAATGGCACCAAAATGGGGCTCAGGAAATCAGCACAAAGGGGGCTTGCCATGGGAATGGCACCAAAATGGGGCTCAGGGCTGGGAGGGAGCCTCGTGCGGTGGGAGAGGTGCTGGGCATGCACTGTTCTGCGGGGCTCTGCCTGCTGGTGTGATCCCCAGGGAATGAGGGGAAGGATGGAGCCTGGGGGCCCTGGGGCTGCTGTGACACCAGGCAGGGAAAGGCTCCAGCTGGCCCCCACAGGACTCTGAAAACAGGAGGGATTCACACCACCACCATCACAAAGCAGCCATTTCCTAACTACACCCTTCTTCACCTATCAACATTTACCATACCATAAATACCTTAAAGCAAATAATCTAAAATCATCCTCATGATCCATCTTTCATAATTCTATTTCTCCAAAGTATCTAGTCTTATTTACAAAAGCACCCTTTAGAACTTGTTTCTAGTTCCATTTCTCTCTCAACAATATCTATCCTATTCCATTTCTAAATCAACATTTCTTATCTCAAACTTTACATACAAATCCACACTATATGAAACTGCTGTTGGGGTTTAAGAACTCTCTACAAATCCGTTTCCCACAGGGCTTCAAAATAATTCCAGGGGGATTTTCATCTCTCCTGGAGGGTCAGGACAAGGCGGAACAGCTTCCCACTGCCAGATGGGATATTGGGTGGGATATTATCTACAAGAAGTGTGTTTATTTATTATTATTTATTATGAATAAATTTTATTAGTTATTATTATTTATTATTATTATTCACTATTATTTTTATTTATTGTTTTTACTATAATTTATTATTTATTATTAATAAATAATTTGATATACTTTATAAATATATAAAATATTCTATATATAATTTTTATATGTAAATATATATTTCTATATGTATTAAAAATATATATTCTATGTATATTATTATTTATATATTATTTTTGTTTATATTATTTCTATATTATTATTATGTTTATATATTATTAATTATCAATAAATTAAATTCTTTATTATTTAGTATTATTTATCATTCACTAATATTAATTATAATTTATTATTATTTACAATAATTTATTACTTATTATTTATTATTATTCACTATTATTAATTATTATTTATTGGTTTTACTATTATTTATTTATTATTAATAAATAATTTTACATACTTTATACATATATAAATTTATATATTTTAGATATAATTTTAATATATATTTTTATATATTTTTGTATAAAATATATATTTATATATATTATATATTATTATTTATATATTATTGTTTATATTATTTATATATTATTGTTTATGTATTATTATTAATTATCAATAAATTATATTATTTATTATTATTTATCATTCACTAATATTAATTGTTATTTATTATTATTTATTAATATTTACTATTATTTATTATTTATTATTTAGTATTATTCATTATAATTTATTATTTATTAATAATTTTATTATGTATTATTTATTGATTAATTATTATTGACTATTATTTGTTATTATTTATTGCTATTTATTTGGAATTCTTGAGCTTTGAGGAGGCAAACGCTGACCTGTGAGTGCACAAAGACACCAGACCCACACAGACACTGTGCAATGTCCCTGTCCTGCAGCGAGGAGCAGGACGAGGAGCAGGAGGAGGAAGAAGAAGAAGGAGGAAGAAGAAGGAGAAGAAGTAGGAGAAGAAGAAGAAGGAGGAGAAGAAGTAGGAGAAGAAGTAGGAGAAGTAGAAGTAGGAGAAGTAGAAGGAGAAGGAGAAGAAGTAGGAGAAGAAAGAATAAGAAAGAATAAGAAAGAATAAGAAATAATAATAATAATAATAATAATAATAATAAAAATAATAATAATAATAATAACAACAATAATAATAATCCCCCTGAGCTCACCTTTATCCTCTCGATGGAGGCCTCGATGCGGAGCTGCTGCACGGTCCTGCGGGCCTGGGCGATGTTGTTGCTCGTGGTGGCTGTTTTGCCTGACATTTTCAGAGGGGCAGGGAAGCTCTGCAGGGAAACGCAGGGGTTGTTATTGCAGCAGGCAGCACAGCGCCCTGAACTGCTGCTACACACAGGCATCCACCACACACACTGCAAAAAGGGGTTTTTAAATGTTATTGTTGTGGCATCCAACAGGAGCAATCAGCCAAAAAACATCTCTGGAGGTTAAACACGCTCCAGAGAAAGGCACTGAGCTGCTGGGCCGTCAGGTTAGGCCCTTTCTGACACAGAGATGGGGCAGCTGAGAGGTGGTGTAAAAACTTTTATTCCGTTTCCAGTCTCATGAGAAGGCTGAGACAACACAGATGTTACAATTCACACAACCAGAAGCTGGCTGTTTTATATGTTTGAGAATTCTCACAAATTCATTTCCCACACTGTGCAGGTCTCTGAGGCTGTGGCACAGCTTGGGCCACTGGATCCCCCCTGTGCAGCTCCCCCTGGGCTTCCAGGGATCCCAGAGGGTTCTGGAAAGCCACAAAATCCCCGAAAGCTGCCCCAGGAGAGGGGACGAGCTCCTGAGCCCTGCAGAGTGAAAGGAGGAGTGAGCCAGGGTGGAACCACAGGATATTGGGGCTGCAATATCAGACCATCCAGTCCAACCATGGCCAGCACTGCCAAGGCCACCCCTGCCCTGTGTCCCCAGGTGCCACATCCACAGGGGTTGAAATCCCTCCAGGGATGGGCACTCAGCTGTGCCAGGGCTGGGGAACCTTTCTGGGGATAAATGCCACCCCTAGCTGATAGAAACGCCACTCCTGGCTGATGGAAATGCCACCCCTAGCTGATAGAAACACCATCCCTGCTGATAGAAATGCCACCCCTGGCAAACAGAAATGCCACCCCTGGCACAGGCTGAGCCCAGCACCCCTGGCTGGGGTCTCCACCTTAGTCCTGAGTGTCCCAGGCCAGGCTGGATGGGGTTTGGAGCACCTGGGACAGTGTGAGGTGTCCCTGCCACGCCAGGGGTGGCACTGGGTGGGCTCTGAGTTCTCTCCCAACCAAACCAGTGTGGGATTCCAAATCATCCAGGTCTGCAGGAATCTCCAGCCCAGCCCTGCCCGTGTCCCTGTCCTGTGTCCCAGCAGGGCCCTGCTGGCTTTGCCCAGCTCCAGGAGATGAGGGGAGCTGTGTGTGAGCCCCTCAGGTGTGTGACAGCTCCTGTGCGTCCCCACTGTGTGTGACCCTCCTGTGTGTGCCCCCAGCCAGCCCCGTGCCCTTTGCAGCAGGCTCAGGTTTCCCTCACCCAGCCTGGCAGCAGGGCTGCTCCCCAGTGCCAGCCCAGCAGGCTGGCAGCAGCATTTTCCTGCCCCTGTGGGCAGGGGACATTCCTTGGGAAAGCTCAGGGCAGGAAACGCTGGGGGAGGCACAGTCACTCCTCGGGTTGGGCGCCACTAAAAACTCGTTTCCTGCAGTGAAACAGATCCCCCTGCAGATCCAGGGGTGCTCCAAGCCCTGGCCTTGGGCACTGCCAGGGATCCAGGCTCTGGGAATTCCATCCCATCCCAGCCCTTCCCCAGGAACAATTCCCAATTCCCAATGTCCCATCCAGCCCTGCCCTGTGGGAGCCATTCCCTGTGTCCTGTCCCTCCATCCCCTGTCCCCAGTCCCTCTGCAGCTCTCCTGGAGCCCCTTGAGATCAAAAATGAATTTTCCCAGCAGGAAACTCCAACAGGCACCGCTGGGTTCCACAGGAACCCTGCCCATGCAGCCCCAAATCCCTCTCTGGGATAACAAGGAGCTGTTTCACGTGGACACAAAGCACAAATCCACCACAAACGGAGCCCAAAGTCCCATCCAGCCCCTGCAGCTTCCCCTCACAATATTCAAAACCTGCAGTGTGAAAAACCCAACACACAGCAATTTATTTTTGTCCAGTAACAAATGCAGCTCTGAGAGGGCAGCTCAGGAGCTGCTGATTCCTCTAATTTTAGTACTTTTTTTTTTTTTTTAGGTTAAAAAGTTGCAGAATTAAAAGATACACCATTATCCTCTCATTTAACTGGGGAAAGGCCACACTCAGCCTTCCCTCCCCAGCCCCAAACCCCCTTTTGCCCCATGAGCTGTTGGATCTCTGGATCCCTTCCCACCCCACATGGATTGACCTCCTTAGGAAAGTTCCAGTGCTTATTTTCCCAGCTGCTTAGCTTTGTTAATAAATGAGATGGTTGGAAAAAAACAAACCAAACCAAAACAAGCCAAACCGTAAGATTTGAAAATTAAATTGCTGCGTTTGCCCATCTCCAAACAAACAGGAGCTTTAATAGCCCTCCTAAGATTACTGAACCTCTTCTGCAGGGAGATTTACAGCAACTAGGTCAGCTGCCCATAAATCTGTTTTCCTTCCCAGCTCCTGGCAATGGATCCGGGCTGCTGCAGCCATGGGATTTCTCCCAGGGCACCCCAGAGCTCCCCAGATTGAACTGGAGGTGCCAGAATTCTGCAGGATATGGGGGTTCGGAGCCCGGGGCAGGGTTTGCTGGGCCAGGAGGATCTGCCAGGAGAAGAAGCTGCTCCCTGAAGAAAGGAGCCCTCAGCTGGAGAGGGCACAGCTCTGATTTCTAGGAAACGATCCCTGGTGCTCAGCCCTGGGAGCCTTCCCCATCCCAAAACCTTCCCTTGGGACCTTTGGTGTGTCCCAGCTCCTCCTTCTGTGCTAGATGCACCAAAAATGAATTTTCAACAAGTTTTTCTGTTCGCCACCTAAATCATGGCTGGTGATTCAGGCCAGGCTGGACACTGGGGCTGGGGACAGTGGGAGGTGTCCCTGTCCTGGCAGGGGTGGCACTGGGTGGGATTGCAGCTCCTTTCCAGCCCAAAGCACTCCAGGATTTCCTGCTGTGACTCAGGCAGGAGGGGTTCCCTGTGGGGACACTGGTGACAAGCTCGGCCCCCTGGCTGTGACACAGCTGAGCAGGGCCCGGGCTGGTGGGGACAGAGATTCCCAAAGGCCAGAGCAGCTGCAGGCACGGCTGCAACTCTCCCCCCTGGGTCTGACTCAGAGCCTAAAAGCAGACAAAGGATCAGACCCAGAGCAGCCTCCCTGGCACCACCCTGCCATGGCAGGGCCACCTCCCGCTGTCCCAGGGCTCCAAACCCACCCAGCCTGGCCTGGGACACTGCCAGGGACACAGGGACAGCCACAGCTGCTCTGGCACCCGTGCCAGGCCTGCCCACCCTCACAGGGAAGGGTTTATTTCTCATTCACCCACTGCAAACTGCACGGGAGGACTCCCACCAGCCACACGCTGCCAGGGAAAGCGAAAAGCACAGGAAACGTGCAGTGCACTTCCTGCAGCCACACCTGCACCTTTTCCTGGCCCAAAACACCTGCAGACAGGTGGGGCTGCCCCTCTTGCGGGGAACAGCCCTGTTCTTCCAGGCCTTGCCCCATTTCTTTCCCCAGGCTCTGGGTAATGAGGTTGCCATGCAGCAGATCCCCAGATCCGCCTGGGCCGCCTGCCAGAGCCCAGCTCCAGTGGGATAATTAAACTCTGGACTGTCTTATTTACTCTCTCAGATCCAGGACTTGTGAGGCACCCGCTGAGGGAAAGGTAATTAAATCAGCCCTGCACAGGCAGGGCTGGGGATCTGCTGGAAATCCCAGCAGCTCTGCCTGGAACACAGCTCCCAGTTTGCTCCAGTAACACCCAGCCAGCTCCTACTGGAGCAGCAGAGCCTGGCTGGCAGCAGGGCAAACCCTCAGAGGTGTCTTGTAACTGCTTCTTTGAAATAAAGCAGATTTTGAGGTGAATAACTCGGAATTTGGATCAACACAGCAGGCTGGGCGAAACACAAACCAACACCAGTGACAAGGACAGCACCTCCAAGTGTAACACCCTGGCAGCCCCTGGTTTTCCTGCCCTGGTTTTCCAGCCCCTGGTTTGTTTTCCAGCCCCTGGTTGGTTTTCCAGCCCCTGGTTTGTTTTCCAGGGCTGCCAGCAGGGATCTAAAGTTACAGCTGACCTGCAAATGCAGGCTCCAAAGGGCTCTCCCTTTGCAGAGCCACTGGAGCCCAGCTGGGCAGGGTGGGAAGGAGGATGGACGTGCCAAACTCGCCAGGGAAAGGGCAGGAAAAGGACACGGGGTGTTCCCAACGTCCCACTGGCCCTGCACACCCTGCAGGTCCCTGGGAATCCATGGAGCTGCTCCATGGAATCCAGGCTGGAGCAGCTCCAGCCCGGAAATGTTTGGATGCTGCTGCCTGATAAACCAGAAACAACCTCCACCCTGGGAATGATCCCACTTCTCTAAAATACACAGGAACGAGGGGAAAAGAGGGAAACAAGCAGCTGGACAAGCTCAGAGCTGCTGCTCCCAGCTCGTTCCCAGCCCTGAGCTCGAGTTAGAGGTTTCAGTAATTCCACCACGAGTGCTGCAGGTTTCCAAGTGACCATTTCCAATCCTGCAAACTTCCTGCTGTTTGCTGGGAGACTTTGAAGCCGGGTCTGGTTTGTCACCACACTGACACGGGCTCTGGCTGCTGCCGTTCTGCTCCCTCCTTCCTCCCTGGCACGCTCTCATCCCGCTGCCTTCAGCTGGCACCCTGCAAACAATGTGGGAACAACACCAGCAAAACCCCAAATCCCGCTGCCCCTTGCAGCAGTTCACACCCCCCAGAGCTCACAGGAATTAAAAGAATAAAATTTTGCTTGCGCAAATGCAGGGATTTGTCGGGCAGGAAGGCGTTGGGAGGAGGAAGAGGGGATGCAGGGAGCGGCACCAAGCTGAGGGAAATCCCTATGAAGAACAGGGAGAAGGAGCCCCAAAGCCCTCTGGAGGGGTGGCAGGAGCACGGGGCGATGGCAGAGGCTGTGCTGGCCCCCCTGCAGGAGCAGGCAGGAGTGGGTGAGGCTGCCCTGGTCTCAGGGTGCTCTGCACTGATCCCTTCCCGGAGCCCTGCGGGGGCCGGTCAGGACTTGAACGCCGGGGTTGGTTTTCCTACAGGGCACCCTTGGGAGCTCAGGCTTTGTCAGCACTTGCAGAACCTGAAAGTGCTCCCAGCCCAAGCCAGGAGGCCACGGCTGGCACTGAAGGTGGGGGCAGGAATGAACAGCTCAGCTCTGAGCAGGCACGGGAGCACAACCGGCCACAGCAACAGCTGAAACGACTCCACAGCAGCAGCACCAACCCCTGGCATTGGGACATTCCCCAGTTTTGATCTCTGATTATCAGGCCTCCAGTGGAAGAATGTGCTGGAGGAATCTCACTGTGCCCGGCTCTGTTTCCAGCCCAAGTGCTGCAGAGGATTTGGAGGCGCAGTGGGAGCTGAGGTGTCCCCCTGGTCCTGCACACCCCGAGCACAGCAGCACCTGGAACAAGGAGAGCCAGGTGGGCTGGCAGAGGCACAGAGCCCCTGACAGCCCTGCAGGAGGGACAAAGGAGCACCCAAGGGGCGCCCCTGCCCACCTGAAACCCAAATGGAGCTGCTGCATCTCCCCAGCAAGGAGCTGCCCTGCCCTGGCAGGCCCAAGGATTTTGGAAAGCACTTGGGAAGAATGGATGATTATTCAGGGTGGAAAACGAGTGGAAGGGCTGTGTGGAGGGGAGCACCTTGAGCTGTGTGCCTGCAGCACCTCTGGGAAGGCTGGGTGCCATCCCATCCCCACTGGCACCTTCACTGGGAGCACTGGGAGCACTGGGAGCACTGGGAGCAGGCAGGCACGTCCCAGTGCTCCTGCTGGGCAAGGAGGGAAGGCAGGGAGCAGGAATTGCAGCCCAGCAGCCCATCCCTGCCCCGGCCATGCTGCCTGCCTGGTTCTTCCTCCCAGCAGCCCAGGGGAAAGCCCAGGGCTCTGAGCGGGGCCGTGCTGACACCCAGTGGAAGCTCCGGGGCTGGAACCTTCTCCTCCTGCCAGAGACAATGGGAACGGACCTGGGCAGCAGGAAAACAGGACACTGAGGGTGGGGCAAAGCAGGGATTCCAGATGCTTTTGGGTCGGTTCTCTCTTGATGATGCTTCTGTCCCATCCCTAGAGGGGTCCAAGGCCAGCATGGAGCAGCCTGGGACAGGGGGAGGTGGCTCTGACCACAGCAGGGGTGACACTGGGTGGGCTTTGAGGTCCCTCCCAACCCAAATTCTGGAATTTCATGATCCTTATTCCCCACACAAGGAGCAGAGAGACAAGTGGTGCCATATTCCACAGATTTCTGGGAGCACTGGGTGGGCTTTGAGGGCCCTCCCACCCAAATTCTGGAATTTCACGATCCTTACTCCCCACACAAGGAGCACGGAGACAAATGGAGAGACAAATTCCACAGATTTCTGGGAGCACCCCGAGCCACTCCTGCCCTTTGCAGACTGAACACAACACCCACAGTGCAAACTCCCCAGGAAAAATGGCAACAGGGGGCACCCACGACCTCCCTGCTCCCATCAAGGAGAAGAAGGATTTTTCCACACCTACCCCAAACCAAGCTGTGAGCAGCAGCTCCCTGGTTGAGCAGGTGAGAAGGGCTGGATTTTTAAGCAGGACTGGATTTTTAAGCAGGATTCAGGTGAGATTTACAGGCACAAATACCTTACATGCATTAGAAAAAGTTTAGGTTTGGTGAAAGAAAGAAAGATCCTCCCCAGACAAAATCCTGCCCCAGCAAAAGGAAAGCTGGAGCATGTGGCAGCTGCAGGATCTGCAGAGGTTTTGGGGAGGATTGGGGTGCAGCACAGCTGAAGGGGCTGGGGGAGCTCAGGCAGCTCAGATTTCAAAGCCAATTTTGCAGCAGAAAAGGCCCAGCAAGGCCCAGCTCTGCTGCCATCCCCTCCTGGAGAGAGGCTGGATGAGAATTGGGAATTGTGGCAGATCCACCTGGTTTGCTGTCAGTGCAAACACAGAATGAAAGCCCCTTAAAGCACTGAACATCCATTTGTGGTGTTTCCTCCTTCAGAGAATTTACACTTGAGAGTACTGAGAGATTCTACACTAGAGATCCTTTTTTTTTAAATTATAAATAACGCTGCCAGTGTCTTAATTGGGGATTAAAACCCTTAATGATGTGAAATGAAAGGAAACAGACAACTCCCCAGATCTTCAATTGGACTTGGTGTTCTGGGTGTTTAATTAAGGCTGTGCTCCTCCATGGCCTCCCGTTTTTAAGTTATTCCAGCACCATCCTGCTGATCAAACTGGGCTGCAGCTCCCTTTGATTTCCAAAGGCAGCCCCCACTGTGGGATTCTGTCAAACCCAGTGCACATTCTGGGAGAGGAGCAGAGGAAAAACCTACTTTTGCTTTCCTCCGCATTTCTCCTGACTTCACTTTTTGTACCTTCAGCACACACAAAAAGCGACTTTTAGATCAAGGTTACTTTGAAAAACATCTGAGCAGCGTTACTTCAGAGACACTGGAAAAGGCAATGAACTGCAGGGCACAGAAGGTCCCTGCTCCTCCCCACAGGGAAAGGAGGGAAAACTCCAAAGAGACATTTGCAAAGAGACTTTGAGCTGCATGAAAATCAGGCTGCAGAGCAGGAGAGGCTGTGCTGGCAGCTCCAGCCTGGCCCCAGGCTCTGTGACCTTCAGCAGATCCTTTGTCTGGCACAGATAAAGCCTGGGATGCTCTGGGGAGAGCCCCACGGGGCTCAGCTCCAGGAACTGGGCAGGTGGGAAGGATTTCACCTCCTCCTTGGCTGCAGGAATTTATCCAGGTGCCTGTTTGTAAGGATGGGGGGAATATAGAATAATTTGCATTTTTTGATGGTCAAACAAAACACGTGTAGCACAGCAAAGACACAAGTGATGAAGATTTGCAGGCTGGTAAGAAATTCCCCCTTTTCAGGGGAATAAACAAGGAAAAGCTTAATTTCTGTGGGAAAAGCAGGTTTTCCTGCCCCCTGAATCCAACCCAAAAGCAGTCAGGCAGTTAAAATAATGAGGTGAAAAGTGTCGGCAGTCCTGCCAAGGACTTTATATTTGCTCTGCTCCAGAATAAAATTAAATCACCAGGGTTTGGGACCTGTCATGCTGCTTTGTGTTTTGCGTGAAATAAAAGAACCAGAGTGGACTGGAAACTCACCTACATAGGCAGACCTGCTCCCTGTCCAGCTTGCCTTGATTTTATCAGTGTAATGATCCTGAAACAAGAATAAAATCAGAGTTATAAGGATTTCACTGCTCAAGGAAGCCAAAGCTGGGGGGGGGGGGGGTTGGCATTTGTGGCTTAATGCTAATCACAAAACCAATATTTTGAGATTGGAAAATCCACCTCAAACTTGGAGCAGCCTGGGACAGCGGAAGGTGTCCCTGCCCAAGGCAGGGAGTGCGACTGGATGGGGTTTAAGGTCCCTTCCAACCATTCCAGGATTCCTTTGACCCTGGGGCTGTCAGCCTGCAGTGATGTGTCCTCACAGCTGGGTGTAAATCAGTGCCCAAACAAATCTGAGAGCTCACACTCCCTGTGCAGGCCTTGCACACCCAGAGAAACCTGCAATTCTACCAGCCCTCACATCCCTCCAGGCCCTGGCAGGGCTCTGAGCTCTCCTGCATCCTTCTCCTGTCCGGGTGAGCACCCCCAGCCCCTGAGGGTGTTGGAGCCATCAGGTGATGGGAGCTGGGTGAGAGCTGGAGCAGGGAGGGATTTACAAGTAAAATCACCTTTCCCTTCACCATGCTGGCTGTGCTGTGCTGCTCAAGCCCTGCAGTCACACCCAGCTGTGTGCCAGGCTCCAGCAGCTCCCAATGCACCGGGGGCTGGCACTGCCCCTGGCATTCCCAGTGCAGGTACCCCATATTGATGTTTCTGACTCGATTTTAAGCGTGGAACTGGGACCAGAGGCACTTCCTGAGCTGGCACAGCCAGGGCACGGCCAGATCTGGGATTTCAGCCTTTGGCATGGATCCAGCCTGCACTGCCGGGGCTGCAGCAGCCCTGGCACCCAGCCCTGGGGCTGCTCCGTGCCCACCACAGCCATCCCTGCCCTCATTCCCAGGGAAGGACGAGGCAAAAACCCACCTGAAATTCCCCAGGGATGGCCCTGAGCGAGGAGGCAGCTGTGGTAATTTACTTTGGGGAATTTTAGGAGGAATCAGACACAGGAGTTTTGAATTGTTTTGGATGATGTGGTTTGTTTTCCTTGTCTTCTGCATAGGCAGGAAGGGGAAATTTGGCTCTTATCATTACAACATGGTTTAGAAGGTCTCAAGACCCTTAGTTATAAGACTTTTTAAGGAGTTGTTGACTAATAAAACACTGTCAACAAGGATATTTATGTTTTGACTCAATCTTTAAATATTTTGTTTTATGGACTCATGCTACAGTGTACGCTCTTTTAGCCAATCATGTTATGGCACACAAACCCACAGTGCTGCACTCTAAACTCTTTGTTTACTTCTGTAATTACTTTTACTTTTTCGATCTCTTAAACTCTAAAACTCTGAACTTCTTTTATTTAGCTAACATGTCTCTGCTTTAAACTATAAATCCACATTCTCGCTACTGGCATCTAAGTTTGGGAGCCTTTCCCAAGGTCTCAGACCAAATGCTGGGTTTAATTCCAAGCTTTGGCTCACAGGCCCAAGGTTCTGAGAGTTCCCTGCATTTCAGATTGCAGCAGGCAGCACGGGCAGTGTTCCCATTACAATCACACCCCACTTCCCGTGCTGGAAACGGGGTCACACTTTTAACAAGCGCTGCTCTAATCACCGTGTGGAGGAGGAAAATAAATTGTGCTAAGGACAGTCTGCCTTGCCACAGTCCTTGTCCCTGTGCCAGGCTTGTCCTGTCCACATCCAGCAAGGAAACCAAAATAAATAAATGTGACACGTAACCTCCTCCGGGGACGTGTGACCACTGCACAAAACCAAAGCTGGCATGGAAAAGCTGCTCCTCTGCTTATCTGTGCGACATCCCAACCTGCTCACACCCCCTGGACGCTGCCAGGGAGAAACAAGAAGAGTTTTTAAACTGGCTCGTGCATCCCGAGGGGGAAGCAAACACAGCCACAAGAAGCAGGAATGGTTTGGGCTGGGAGAGAGCTCCAGGGACGAGCCAGCCCAAGCCCATCTCCAGCTCACCTGAGCAGAGATTCCAGCTCCTGGGGCTGCCCTCCAGCCCAGAGCCACACTGCTGCTCCTGCCTGATCACAGCTCCTAAAGGCACTCACAAACCCCCACAAAGGCAGCATTGCTGGCATAGTTTGAGGCTGCAGTAATGCACCCCCTGCAAAAGCCTCCACTGAAAGGCCAGGCCCTGCTGGGGAAGGAATAAATCAGGGAAGGGCACGTGGGCTGAGGAAATTCCACGGCTGGATGGGTCCCAGTCCCTGTGGCCAAGGCTGGCAGCACCAGCCAGCTCCTCCTGCTCTGCAGGAGCTCCAGCTCCAGCATCCCTGCTCTGCAGGAGGAATCCCTTGCAATGTGAACCAGATTCAGCTGGGAAAAGGATGGTCCCTGTCCCACAGGAGTCAGGGACACTCTCTGCTTATCCCAGCTCCAAGCTCAGACCACAAACCCTGACCTCGGGAGGGGGCTTGAAGCTACAAACACAGCTGAAAATGCAATTTGGGATCTGCTCAGAATTATTCACAGCAACCACAGAATGAGAGACTGGTTTGGGTTGGGAGGGAGCTCAAAGCTCACCTCATCCCAGCCCCTGCCATGGCAGGGACACCTCCCACTGTCCCCAAGTGTCCAGCCTGGGCACTGCCAGGGATCCAGGGGCAGCCACAGCCGCTCTGGGCACCTGTGCCAAGGCCAAACCACCCTGCCAGGGAGGAATTTATCCCTAATATCTCATCCAAACCTGCCCTATTTTTCCCTTTCTATGATAACCACCCCAATGTTTCCCTGGTTCAGGCAGCAAGGGCCGGGTCCCAGGACATCCCCTTGGCATTCTGCTGGAAACTGGGAGGGAGAATTTTCCCTCCTCAGCTTACAGCACCAGGAAACCTCCTGGTTACGTGCTCTGGGGGTGGCTGGGTACAAGGAAAACCCTCCTTTGGATGGGAACACCGGACGAAACCTCCCCCATGAGCTGCCAGTGGCTCTGCAGAGCAAAGGGGTGATGGCACAGAGCAGCTGGATCAGGGAGCAGGCTGGGAATGCAGGCTGGGAATGCAGGCTGCTCCCTTCTCAGCAGGACTGAGAGGGGCTTTTCCACCTCCAAACCTCTGAGAGCCAGGCTGGAGAACAGCCCCTGCACAGGCAGGGCTCCTGAGAGCAGGGCAGGATCACACACCCACAGCAAAGGGTGCCAGAAACTCACCTGTCCCTGCACAGCACGACTGGAAACCCACGGGAGAGGGATGGGAAGAGAAAGGGGGAAAACAAAGGGGGAGCAGGGCTGGCTCAGCCTGAGCTGAGGCCAGCGTTTAAACAAGGAGCCGATCCCAGCAGCCTCAGCTGCTGCAGCACAAATAACCCTCACAACACACTTTCTTCCCTTTCCCTCCTCCCCCTGGAACTGCAGCACATGCCAAGACGCTGATACGGACACAGGAAGCTGAATATAAACACATTGCCTGTTTTACCAAATATTCAAAGGAACACAACTAAAAATACTCAGCTGCTGGTGTCCAGGAACATCCCAAAGCTGGGATCCAGCCCCAGCCAGGGAGCTGGGAGTTGGGGCACACTGAACCCCAGGCCCCAGCTTCCAGAGAATCCCAAATGGCTGGGGTTGGAAAGGGACCTTAAAGATCTTGTTCTGTTCCCTTGCCATGGCAGGGACACCTCCCACTGTCCCAGGTGCTCCAGCCCCAGTGTCCAGCCTGGCCTTGGGCACTGCCAGGGATCCAGGGCAGCCACAGCAAATCTGGGAATTCTATTCCAGGGCCTGCCCACCCTCATAGGGAACAATTCCTAATTCCCAATCTCCCATCCATCCCTGCCCTCTGGCAGTGGGAGCCATTCCCTGTGTCCTGTCCCTCCATGCCTGTCCAAAGTCTCTCTCCAGCTCTCCTGCAGCTCCTCCAGGCCACACTGAGGTCCCCCCAAAGCTTCTCCTCTCCAGGTGAACAATCCCAGCTCTCCCAGCAGAGCTGCTCCATCCCTGGCACCATCCTGGTGCCTCCCCTGGACCCCCTCCAGCAGCTCCAGGTCCTTCCTCTCCTGGGGGCAGCTCTGCAGGGGGGTCACCACAACATCCACGAGTGCATCCTCTCCTCCCCAGGGACACCTGGCTGGAAGGGGCTCAGCAGCTCCCCAGTCAGGAATGCTGGATCCCCTGGGATTGCTGGATCCCCTGGGAATGCTGGGTCCCCAGAGCCACGTGTCTCCCCAGGGGCTGGATGGACCCCACCACATCCCACCTCCCGTGGGTACCCCCACTGCTCCCCCACCCTCCTGCTTCTACCTCCCTCCCCAAAACCCCATGGGGAACCCCAGCACACCCCTGAGCACTTCTGTCACAGCCTCTGCTCTTTCTCATCAATCCTTGCAAAACACAGAATGGAAACTTTCTGCTTTTTTTCCAACTTTCCTTTTTTCATGTCACCAGTGCAGTCTCACCCCTCCAAGCTCCCCCCAGGTGATTCCTGGGAGCAGAAATGATGAGGGACCAAGAGCTCCCAACACTGAGAGCAGGGGGAGCTCTGAGGTTTATAAAAGCGAGCCCCAGCTGTGCAACAGTGCAAAATTCACCAAGCAGCGGCACAGCTCCGGCAGAGCAGCAATCCCAGGAGCCACCACACATCTGCAGCTCCCATTTCCCAAGAAAAACCGAGTCCATGACGACTCTCAGGCACCGGGGGTGCTCCATCCCAGCTAACGGAGCTCCACTCCCAGTCCTGCCCTGCTCAGGGGTATTTCTGTGCCAGGCCACAGCAGCCTTCCCCTTCCCCAGCGTTTGTGCAAGCTCAGAGGGAGTTGCAGCAACTCAATCCTCGCAGGAATCCGGCCCTGTGCCTGGGCCAGGGCCGTGCTGTGCTTCCCTGATAACTGCAAACCTTTGGAAGCGCTTCCCTCCGCCCCTGCCGCGATCTCTGCTCCGGCAAAGGGCACAGAGGCAAAGGCTGGGCCTGGATGGGGCTGAGCTCTGCAGCAATGTGGGTCTGCTTTCACAACAGAGCACGGCCACACAGGGACACGCTGGGGTTGGGGAGCTGGGGCCAGGGAAGGAGCACCTTCCCAGCCCAGAATGTCGTGTTCAGCATCTCCCAGCAGCTCCTGCAGGGACGGTGGAGCACAGAAAAAGGAGGGAGAGGGATTTTTAACACAGGGGAAGGCTCCCATTGCCAGAGGGCAGGGATGGATGGGACATTGGGAATTGGGAATTGTTCCTGTGAGGGTGGGAATGGAATTCCCAGATTTGCTGTGGCTGCCCCTGGATCCCTGCAGTGCCCAAGGCCAGGCTGGACACCCCGGGACAGTGGGAGGTGTCCCTGCCATGGCAGGGGTGGCACTGGGTGGGATTTGAGGTCCCTTCCAACCCAAACCATTTGGGATTCAGTAATTCTACTGTGTCACCCCAGACCCTGCCACAGAGAACTCCACATGAATCTGGTTCAAATATTCCGAGTCTTCAGCAACAGAACGTAAAACCTTAAGAACTTTCAGTACTTATAAAAACTATCACATTATATGTGAAATGAAAGCTACAGCACAAGTCAATAATTTGATTTAACACCAGCAAGGCATGAGAGACCAGCTGTTCTGCTGCCTGGGAGCCCAAGGAACTCCTCCGGGGCAAGAGGAGAATTTAGTCTTTCAAGGGAAAATCCCCCACCAGCTGGGTGATTATGGAATGAGCTCGCCCCCAGCACCAGAGCATCACTGTTCCTCTCTGGAACTGATTGCTCCTTGATTAGAGAGACCCCAAATGCTGTGGTGCATCCCAGCCAGGATGGAATACGGGATTGAGGAGTCATTAACTCCACACTAATCCCTCAAGCTCATTTAGTGGCACCGAGCAGCACAAAATCCTGCCACTGTCCACTGCCCACCCTCTACTCCTAGAACCGTGCCAATCCACAATTTCTGAACCAATTCACACCCCAGACAAACACGCACAAGTAAAAGTGTCCCTGATCCTGGGGGGTTCCGAGCCAATTAAAACCCTGGATAATTCCATTTTGCCACTTCCCAATTGCCACACTAATTAAGCCACAGAATCACGGAATATCCTGAGCTGGAAGGGACCCATAAGGATCATCAGGTCCAGCTCCTGGGCCTGCACAGGACGACCCCAGAATGTCACCCTGAGCCCCGGCATTCCCAGGGGATCTGGGCAGTGCCCACCACCCTCTGCAGGAAGAACCTTCCCAAAATCCAACCTAAACCCCTGACACAGCTCCTTCCTAAAAACACCAGGCTAAAACCACAATATACAAAACCCTCTTCCCCCCCCAACTCCCAAAAAAGTAAAGAATTCCAGCTTGCAGTAGAGAATCTCAATGTTAAAGTTACTAAAGGAACTAAAAACTTCCAAGAGTTGAGCTCGATGATCCGTGTGGGTCCCTTCCAGCTCAGGATGTTCTGCGATTCCATGATCCCGAGCAAACCTATTACTGCAACAGGGTGTGTAATCTCAGTATCAACACGAAACCTCCTGGAATAATGACGCTTCCCACTAATTAACCTCCTTCCCACACTCAGCCCACAACTCCCCGCACGTGGGAAACTTCCTCCGCCAGGCACAGCTCCGTGATCCCCAGGAAAACCCACGGGCTGGGAACGCTAAAATCGGGGAAACTGAAAGGATTTAGCTGAAAGCTGGGGCGGCCCCCGTGGAGTCGGAGCCGCCAGCTCTGCGTGTCTGTCGGTGCCACGGGGAAGGTCAGCAGGGAAGGAGGCGGGAAGGAGAAGGAAAGGAAGGAAAAAAATTGCCTATTTTAGGATTATTTCTGCCTAATTAAGCACACAAATTTTTACACAATTAAGCAGCTTTTCCCTCACTTGTTGAACCACACCACACCCGCCGGGAACCCCCCTTCAGCACAACCAAAAACCGCTTAAAAAACCCCACAAAAAACTCCAGACCCACCCCAAAAGCCGCCAGGCACCGCTCGGGCCCCGGCCCGCCCCGCCAGGCCCCGCGGCCGCAGGGGCCGGGCCGGCGCTCCCCGCTGCCCCCGCGGGGCCGGGCGGGCTGTCCCGGGTGGCGGGGCTCGCTGTTCCCGGGGGGAACCCCCCTGTCCCGGGCGATCCCGGTACTCACCGAGCGCCGCTCCCGGTGTCTCCACGGGCGACCGGAGCGGGAGCGGAGGCCACGCCCACCGAGCCAAGCTCCGCCTCCATCCCCATCGGCCCCGCCCATCCCCGCGTGGCCCCGCCCCGCCCCGAACGGGGCGGGGCGGGGCCACGCGGGGATGGGCGGGGCCAGGAGAGTGGTGGGCGTGGCCACGCTCTTCTCCCAGTGGTGCCGGCGGGATGGAGGATTTGGGAATTTTGGGAGTCGGGGAGGGGCAGATGTGGCATTTGCAAAAACTTGTCTGCTGCCCGGACGAGCCCGGCGTGCCCGTGCTTGTGGGGCTTTGATCACCTGGGAATTCATTTGTCTGCAGAAGGAGAGGAGGGTGTGGGTTGAAATTTAAATGCGGGCTCCTGCATGGGAGATGCAGGAGGGAGAAGGGTTGGGAGATGAGGGTGGAGAGGCAGGATTGTCCAGGGAAAATGGGGCTGCTCCATCCCTGGAAGTTGGGGAATGGTTGGACAGGGCTTGGAGCAGCCTGGGATAATGGAAGGTGTTCTTGCCATGGAATGGGATGAGCTTTAAGGTCCCTCACAGTCTGGGATCCTACAAAATTCCAGGAAAACTGGGGAAGATGCTGCGCTCATCCCTATCCCTCTGCCCAGAGTACGTCCCTATGGAGCATCCCTGCCCTGAGAGCACCAGGAAAACCTCTCGCTCCTCGCCCTTTTCCATGGTTTTGCCCGCTGTTGCTGTCCCTGGCACTGCCAGGCTGCCCCGGCTCCAGCCTGTCTCCAGAGCAGCTTTTATGGGAGAGGAGATGGGATCACCAGCCTGGCCGGCTCCTCTCGATTGCCATTCCAGCTGGGAGAGCAGGGATGCACAGGAGGACCTTGTCCTGCATTGTGCCCCAATGAAAAAAAAACAAAAAACCAAACAAAACCTTTAGGAAGACTGTAAGAAGGGAAGGAATTCCTGGTGCGATTCCCAGTTAAAAACACAGGAATCCGGGTTTCCCGAGTGTGGCCACCAGCCAGGGAAGCGTTGCCCTCTCGTGGGCTAAAGCAGCAGCAGCTTCCCACCATTCCCTCCTAACCGAGAGCTTAATTAGGCAGCGTTAATTAACTACCTGTGTGCCCACAGTGCAGCATTTGCCAGCGAGCAGCCCCTGACCCGAGCAGCAGCTCCTCGGCCTTCCCTGGAGCTCGGCAGGGATTGCCAGGAGCTTTGCTGGGGCTCCTGTCCCACCCTGGCCAGTTTGTCCCGGGGCACACACCGGGAGGGCACCCTGGCATTGAACTGGGCACGCACTGGGAGGGCACCCTGCCCATGGACTGGGCACACACTGGGAGGGCACCCTGGCATTGAACTGGGCACGCACTGGGAGGGCACCCTGCCCATGGACTGGGCACACACTGGGAGGGCACCCTGGCATTGAACTGGGCACGCACTGGGAGGGCACCCTGCCCATGGACTGGGCACGCACTGGGAGGGCACCTTGGCCATGGACTGGGCACGCACTGGGAGGGCACCCTGGCCATGGACTGGGCACACACTGGGAGGGCACCCTGGCATTGAACTGGGCACGCACTGGGAGGGCACCCTGCCCATGGACTGGGCACACACTGGGGGGACACCCTGCCCATGGACTGGGCACACACTGGGAGGGCACCCTGGCATTGAACTGGGCACGCACTGGGAGGGCACCCTGCCCATGAGCTGGGCACACACTGGGGGGACACCCTGCCCATGGACTGGGCACGCACTGGGAGGGCACCCTGCCCATGGACTGGGCACACACTGGGAGGGCACCCTGGCATTGAACTGGGCACACACTGGGAGGGCACCCTGCCCATGAGCTGGGCACACACTGGGAGGGCACCCTGGCCATGGACTGGGCACACACCGCTCGCACTGGGGCTTGGACTGTGCATACTGGGAGCACTGGGACATGCAGTGGACACGCTGGGAGGGCACACTGGTTTGAACTTTGTATTTTCTCTATTAAACATTTCTTTTCCTCTCCACCAGGGGCGGGATAAAGGCTCAGCTAGAGGGGATCTCTTGTTTTTCCTCCCTTTTGCTCCCTCTCAGACACTCACCCAGTGGATGTCCCACCTTAGTCTGAAGGCAGGACTGGGCTCCTCATATCCTGGTGATACAAGCACGGGTTTCCCTTTCTCCTACAAGCACAAATATTTATGTAAATGTTTATTATTGTTATTAGTGTGTGCTAGTAGCCTAGATCAGAGCACTCACTCTTAGATACCGGGAAGAAATTGTTCCCTATGAGGCACAGGATTCCCAGAGCAGCTGTTGCTACTCCTGGATCCCTGGAATGTCCAAGGCTGGGCTGGACAGGGCTGGGAGCAGCCTGGGACAGTGGGAGGTGTCCCTGCCATGGCACTGGATGGGCTTTGAGATCCCTCCCAACCCAAGGCAGTCTGAGGTGAGACACTGGGAGGGCCCTGGCGCAGTATCCAGGGCGGAATCCTGTCCCCACCAGCATTTATCTGCGTGAACTCTCGTTATTTCCTGCACAATGAGGTTCAGAGTTCAGCCAAGGGCTGCCTGCAGTGCTCAGCCCGGGAGGGTTTGCAGCAGCTCTGCTCTCAGGGTGCACTTTGGCCAGAGGAAGCAAAGCCAGATTTCTTCTGCCTGTTTGACAGGGCTGCTCCTTCCCACCCCGTGTCCCCTTCCAGGGAGGTGGGGGATTCACTGAATGAACCTGGGGAGCTTTCCCACATGGATCATGGAAATCTGATGCTGGGGAAAATGAGCCACACCGCTTCTAGTCCCAACAATCCTGGCAGGAGCAGGCAGAGCAGAAAAATCTTAATTCTTGGACAAACTCACCAAGATTATACCATGTTCCCCCTCAGAACCCCCTCAAAATCAGTGATTTTTCCCCTGGATCTGTGCAGAACAGGAATTTTGACTCAGTTTTCCCAGGATCTTTGCAGAATGGGTATTTTTGTTTGGTGGCTTGTATTTAACCAGAAATGCAGAGAAAAATGATCCTGAAATTATCTGGGAGCAGGCAGGGGCTCGCTCCTGGTTAGGGGCTGGGCAGGGTGGGGGTCACTGTCCTGCCTTTCAGGAAGGGGGTGCTCCCACAACCCTGGGCATGGAATCTGGAGTGGCAGTGGCAGGAAGGCACCTCCCAAGCCAAGCGGGCAGCTGTGCAGAGCCAGCAGCCAGGGAAGCTTTCCCGGAGCAGCAGAGTAATCGAATTGGGCGCGGGAGCAGCGGAGGGGCAGCAGACGGCGCGGGGCGATTGCCGGGGCAGCCATCCCTCACGGCTGCTCTCTGAGGGCCACAGCCCGTCCCCGTGAGCCTGGCCAGCAGCAGCTCCTGCTCTCCCATCTCCATCCCTGCCACGCCAACAGCTGCCGTTCCCTCCCTCCCTGCAGCGCCATGAGAAGGAGCGGGAGCCCAGGCTCCCCCGGCTCTTCCCACCCTTGTCCCAAAGAGCCAGCCCCCAGGAATATGGTCTGAACCCCCCCAATGTCGCAGACATTTTTTCACAGAAATCCTTTCTTTCAGATTTCTGCGTTTTCTTTAGGAAGCAAAGTCTCTAAAAAGAAAATGTAAACAATTGTTATCAGCTGCTGTAAAATGCAATAAGATGCACCTGTGATTGGTTCATGTTCCCATGTTTATAATTAAAGGCCAATCACAAGAGCAAGCTGGGGACAGAGTCCCTAGACACAACTTTGTTATATTTTCTTTCTTTCTATTCTTAGCGTAGCTAGCAGCCTCTGCAACTTCTCTCTTTATTTCTATTTAGTATAATTATAATGTATTATATATCATATATCAATAAATCCAACCTTCTAATCAAGAAACAAGATTCTCGTCCATCTCTCACCCCCAGCGACCCATTCAGACCGCTGTAATACCCCAATGCTTATTTTCCTTTATTATTTATCATGTGTCCCTTCCACAAAGGAATCCCTTAAATCCCCATCCCGGGGCTGCTGGACCCAGCCTTCCCTGGAAAAGGCTGTCCAAAAGGAGCACGTGGGATAAACTGTCCCATTTTGGGTGTCCATGCTGGACACCCCCAAGAAGAGCCTTGCTAAGGCTGTTTGGAGCAATCATTAATGAAACAAAAATTATTGAACAACAAATGTCCTCGTGTTCCACACAGCAAACACCAGCCACCCTGCAGCATCCTCTTTCTTGGACGTAAAGACTTATTTTTCCACTAAAAATTAATGAAATGAATCAATGTCTGGAATTACGCCTGTGGGAATGAGTAATTTCTTACATTTCATACAAATATTTCCCATTTTTCAGCCCTATTCTGGCTCATCTTTCCAGATAATCACAAAACCAGCCACTCTCCCCTAGTTCCAGCTTGGCCAGCTGGTAAAGCATCTGACAGCAGAAATAGCTACAACAATCTGAGCATGAACATTCCCTTATTTATTAATTTTCTTCCCTATTTTTGGGCTTCATGTTGTCGAAATCAGGACCGCCCAGGGACAGAGCAGTGTGCTGCAGCTCAGGTGTGCTGTTCCTCGGGGGCACAAGGAGAACATCCCATTGTTCCCTCAGCTCCACATCAATCCCAGCAGGTCCATATGGACCGGGCGTGGGTGCAGGCTGGGATCTGCTCCATCCCTGCTCCAGGGATGCTCCAAGCAGTCAGGAGGATGTGGGCAGCAGGATGTGGGCAGCCAGCTCTGGCAGAAGAAGCCTTTTCCTCACTCCCAATCCAGATGAGACCTTGGTCTTGATCCAAGGACTCCATGTGATGGATGGGTTTTTCCCTCCAAGGAGGGATTTTCACTGCCTGGGTGCGAGCTGCTCATCCTTCACCCACGGGCAGCCTGAGGCAGATGATGGGATGCAGGGGTTGGAGGAAAACATGTAGGAACAAAGGAGAACCACAACGTAGGAGAGAAGAGTTTTCATATCTCCATCCTTAGGTATTTTTAGTCTGAAAGGCACAAATGCATCACTGAGCTGTGAAAGGAAAGCTCCCTGCTGCTCTCCATGCCAGGGGCTTCAGAGCAGTGCTCTGCCTGCTTTGGAGGAGGTACCTGTGGGCACCTATATCCAGGTGGAGGAGAACCACATCCCTTTAGCTGGAG